GGAGCTTGCAGTGAGCCAAGATGCTGTCACTGCACTCCAGCCTGGGCGACAAAGTGAGATTCTGTCTCAGGACAAAAAAAAAGGGGGGGTTTTAAAGGCTGGGCACAGTGGCTCTTGCCTGTAATCCCAGAATTTTGGGAGGTCAAGGTGGGAGCATCACTTGAGTCCAGGAGTTAAAGGCTGCAGTGAGTTATGATGGTGCCACCGTGCTCCAGCCTAGGACAGAGACACAGCAAGACCCTGTCTCAAAAGAAAAAAAGGCACTTTAGGGAGAATGCTGGAACTGTACAAATAACAAAAAATAACGCATGGGTGGCGCCCTCAGCTTAACATCTAGAGCTGCAGTGCTTACCCCAGGAGGAAGATCCAGCTGCTTCCCAGCATGTGCAAAGCAAATGCGCACCCAGGGGTTCCTTCCCCTCCACCCACGGGGCATCTGCCCTGCCTCCAACAGGCTCCTCTAGGTGGTCTACATTTGACGGCTTTGTAGATGTTCCTTGATTTCACAACTTTGAAGGCCCTACTACAAACCAGGGGAAGCCGATGCCCTGAAAAGTCCAGGGTGAATAAGACGTGGCCCTGCATTGAGGGCTCCTCGCCTGGCAGACATGAAGGTTAGCTTAGTGTTCAAGGACTCAGGCTGGAGGAAGACAATCATTCATTCAAGAACATTAATTGAGCACCTGCTATGTACCAGGCACTGTGCTGGGAGCCCAGAGAGTCATGGTGAGCTTCCAGCGGGCCCTGTATGGGGCGAGGGGTCAGGCTGCAGAAGTGTCGGGAGCTGGGAGGCTGAGGGTGGGCCTGGTGTTCATGGCTCACGACCAGCACGTGGGAAGGGGGCCGTGGGGGCCAGGCCCAGCCTGAGGCAATGGCCCTTAGACAGGCTGGGTTACGCCTCTCCAGAGAACTGTGAACTCAGCTTCCCTGGGGGCCTGAAGCTGCAGGGAGGCAGCTGTCAGAGCCTGGGAGAGAGGCTGTTCCTGGCGGGAGCAGGGCTGGGCTGGTT